ATTTTCCTTTCACAGATAACCCTCGTCACACATAATCTCTTTAAGTGAAAAAAAAATAAATAAATAAAAGAATGAATTGGTACGCTGCAGTAGCTGCACCTTTATGTTCCACTCTCCAGTGCGTATATAAGGTAAATTTAGCTCACTCCATTTTCAAATCCTGGGTCCATCCCTAGTTATGTGTCACGTTCGCAATTTAATAGGCTTTTTGGCATAATCAAACAATAGGGAGCAACTTGAAGTACAAATTAATTTGGAGGACTATCAATCCCTGATAGGAAAAATGAAAATAAAACCTTAAGAGCAAAATATGATAGTTCTTAAATTTCATGGATGTTTTGTGATTTTTTTTTAAAAAAACTTAGCTTAATTAGTACATAAAAGAGGTTATATGAGTCTCAAACATCATGCGTGTGAAAAATCACTCAAATATGAAACTATTTAACCACTAAATTCAATGGTTGTCATTTTAATATTTTCTTGAAATAACTTGTTTGCTTATTTTGTTCCTCAACTTGACGCATTAATGATTTCCAACTTGTCTAAATTTTTACATTAATAACTTTTAAATGAAAGCTTAAAAAATAGACAGTAAAATTTATAATGAACCCACACAATGTCCCTCGATAGAAAAGGACTATTAGCATTATTATTTTCGTGCGTATACTTGTTTGGCCTGACAATTGATTACTTTACAATTTACATGGGTGATTGGAGATTGTTAGTATTGCCGAAAACAATATATACTGTTTGTCTCTCCGATTCCGGTTGCTTAGGCAACAAGGTTAGAAGGTTTCATGCGGTTAGTCTTCGGTCACACGTTTGTATTATAATTCTAGCTAGATTAATTAATTTTAATTTCTTCCTCTAATCTTGTAATAATATTAATGCATGTGCTGATGGGGCCAGCAGACATGTTCAACAAATTCAAGGACGAGGACGGGAAGTTTGAGGATACACTTTGGAGTGATGTAGTAGGGAGGTATTGTCTCCACAAGTCTTGTAGTAAAATAAGGAGCAAGTTATGTACAATTAGTTTCAAAAGACAGTTCTTTTTGTGCTGAAATGAACGATGCTCGAATAGCTATTGATATTATCAGTAAAACAAATTTTGGGACTTTAGATCCTGGTTCAAAAAATTTGTTTGCTACTATAGATTTTCTATGGATATTTACATGTACTCTAATCTTAGTGCATTGACTTCTATTTCTCATTTTTTATGTCTAAGGTAAGCTTATTTGAAAGATCACTCAATTGAAGTTCTATGTATATACAAACATAAAAAGCATTGTTTTGGTGGATCAGCTTAAACAACGTTTGACCAAATTTAAGTATTGAATAAGACTAGTTCGAGTAAGACTATAGCCGGGCGGCTATACTTGATTTTTTTTCTTTTTTCTTTTTTATAAAAAAATATAGTATAGCCGAGCAGCTATACTCTTTATATATATAACTAGCAAATGAAACTATATATATAAGCAAAAGGCAGAAAATGGTAAAACATTCAAAATACCATAAAATGTCATTGGTTAATGCAAACATTAAGAATTGAAATTATTAACTAAATGAGGATAATATGGTAAATTCATATTTTTTCGTATTAAAAAAATTTAAATTAAAAGAAAAATCAGATAATGGATCCCATTTTTATGGAACACAACTACCCATTATCTTTTTAAGAATAATACTAGTCTTACCACATTTTTATACCACATGATGTAGCAGCTGATGTGTACATACCACATCATGTAAAATACTAGTTTCTGTTTTTCTAATTTTATTTATTAAAATACACTTCATTCATTTAATTGATGTGGCATATGATATGGACATGTCACATCATGTGGTATAGAAATATGGGATAAAAATGTGGTAAGTGTAGCATTACTCCTTTTTTTAATTCTAAAATAAATTTAAATTTAAAAAAAAAAGCCTCTCGCAGGTGCAGAAGTGTGTGCATAGAGGCTAGTATCTATAAAGTATAAGTTCATGCAACTAGGAGGGTCCTTTTTTCTAATTTTTTAATATTAAATAGTATAGTATACCATAGGTAATAGCTATTATTTTTTTTTTTTTTTCTTTTTTTCAAATATATCGCCGAACGGCTATACTTGGTTTTGTATATTATTTTTAAAAGGGCTACAGCCACCCCGCTATACTATTTATAATAAAAAAAAACTAAAAAAAGATCCCTGTAAAGCCACGCGGCTATACTATTTATATATATATAATCTATATCTATATATATAAAGCAAAAAGCATAGAATGGTGAAACATTCAAAATACCAAAAAATGCCCTTGGTTAATTCAAACTTTAAGAATTAAAATTATTAATTAAATGAGGATAATATGGTAAATTCACACTTTTTCATATTTAAAAAAAATTAAAATTAAAAACAAAATCAGATAATAGGTCCTACTTTTATGGAACATAACTATCCATATTATATTTTCTTAATTCTAAAAATAAATAAAAATCTAAAAGAAAATCAATTGGCACATGTCCAAAATCAGTATAGCCGCGCGGCTCTACGCTTTAAGTGTACTATATTTGGCAGGACTATAGCCGCACGGCTATACCATTTATTGAAATCAATTTGAGAGTTCAATTCATAGTATAGTCGCGCGGCTATACTATTTATTAAAACAAATTTAAAAAAACTTCTATATAGCTGCGCAACTATACTATTTAATTATAATGATATTTTATACGTAAAAGGATGCATTGATGCATTCATATGTTAAAGACATGTAGAGAAGTATTTTATATTTGATACGGCACATAGGATTTTAGGACGTGGCATGCTTTTGCTTGTGCTTCAGTTTTCAAACAACACTTTACATGAAGAATACTATATTCTCTCTTACTATTATATCCATAAATCTTTGTTTGAAATTTAAAATTATGTATTAAAAAAAAACACGTGCATTAGACATGAAACCTACCTACGTACATGTATCATATGTTTGCTTTTAAAAAAACATGTATTTTCTAAACTACTCTTATCGATAAATGAAATTCAAGGAAATTTTAAAAAAAAAATAACCCAGTATAGTTGCGCCACTATACTATTTATTAGAAAAATTTAGAAAATAACTGAAGTATAATCGTGCAGCTATACTAATTAATTATATTATATTTAAAGAGTATAGCTGCGTGGCTATACTATTTATTAAAATGAATTTTAAAAAACTTCAGTTTAGAGACAATTGGGCCTTATTACATTATACTAGGGGTGGGCGCGGTTCGGTTCAGTTCGGTCTGATTTTCACCTCAAACTGGAACTTAAATCAATACTATTTAATTGGTCCGATTTTAGTGAATTTTTTTTTTAACCAGCTAGTCCAGTTTGAATCGATTTTGGACCGATTTTTTTTTTAAACTTTTTTTAATACAAATTCAAACTAAAATTTAATTTTTTGGACTTGAAAATTAATAAATGATCTAATTTCATACAAAGAGAGATATTGGGCCTAAAAAATAGAGATGTTTTGAAATTGGGTTTGGGGAAATATTAGTTATGAGATTAGAAAAATAGCATTAGAGTTAACCGGCTCAGTGCTAATTTGTTGACTTTTTTAGTCGATTGATTTTTTTTCATCCGATCCGGTTTGTTGTTCCGGTTTTTTGGTCCTGATGCCCACCCATACATTAGACTACTCTAGTCCACAATCCTTATTAGTACACCACACAGCAACCGAGAGAGTAGTCCAATTTAATTGGAATAGTAATAGCAAGCCCGTCCTCCAAACAAAGCACACGTACATTAAAAAAAATCCCACAAAATGCATTACGTATTGTTCCGAACCTTTGGTAGGTAAAAAGTTTTGTTTCGGTGGCAATATTGAGACCACCTTCTATAAACCACCTCTACCACCACCTCTTTCACCATCACCTTCACCTCCATCTCTTTCACTACCACTACCATTACCATCACATGATTAGCACATAACACTTTCAACATCATGTCTATTTTAGTTATTATTCACATTTGCGACAGTTTTATATTAAAATTTACCAAACGGTTTTGACACTACTTTTTATACTGAGAGCACTTTAAAAATATTATTTACCAAATATGGAGGTGTTTTACTTTACAACTTCTTATTTTCAAAACACAACATAAGTGACTTTTTTAAAAGTTGCATCAAATAATATGATAATTAGAAGTGGACATCAATTTGGCCGATCATTGGGCTTTGTCTTGTATGAAAAAGGCCCAATAGTTTTTCTTAATTTTCCATCCCAACTGTCTAAGTGCTAGTTTGGCATTGCTTATTTGGGGTGATAAGTGATTTTTAAAAAATTTGAGAAGCCCAACCCGTTTGGTAAACTGTGAAAAAATCACTTATTGTTCAAAATTGCTGTGAGAGAAAGCTATAAGGGAAAGCAGCTAATGAGGTGCTTTCATTTTCTGATTATGCAGGAATCAATTTCGAAGATGTGTTGGGTTTAATGATTATGCAGCAATCATTTTCTGATTTTGCGTAAAATCAATACCAACAACACTTTTAACAAAAATGTTACCAAACGCCAAACTGTTTTCTCTCATAGCTGATTTCTCTCACAGCAAATCTGACAGCGATTATTTTCACAGCACAGCAATGCCAAACTGGCCCTAACAAACAAACGTGTGATTTTGAGACTTGCCTTTCAGAGACAAATATGACCATTCGGTAATAACAAGAAAATGATTTATTTTTTTTTTTTTTTTTTTTGGATCAAATTTGAATCACGCCAACGGTCAAAAGGATTGAGCTCGCCATCTCCATTCAGAACAACACATAACATTTCCCATCCCGGGCTCTGTTGATTAATCTCAGCCGTCCATCCAGAAACGACGTCGTTGGGTTCGCAGCCGTGAAAGCTGAAACGTCCTACAGTTCCTTCCCAAATAGCCAAATAGAAGAAGATGGTGGATTGATGATAGAAGCCCATTCGTCTGAGCCATTAGGAGCTTTCTTAGCGTGACACAAGGAGGTTGAAGATGACAAAGAATATGGTTTTGAAGAAAAGCAATGATCACTGGGCTTTTCTGGTAAAGATTTCATCTTTCTTGAATTTGTTCTCTTCTTCTCTGTCGCTGTTAAGGGTTTTTCTGGTTTAGGAATTTGGGTTCTTGTGTTTGTAAGCTTAGGTTTAATTTGTCTTTGTTTAATTTTTCTTCCCAAATGATATTGGATTTATTGAATTCAGTAATCTGGTTTGTTTGAAATGTTGGTCCTCTTCTTGGGGTTCTTGAATATGAATATGGTATCTTTAGTGTCATTTCTGGGTTCATTTGAGTTTACCATTGTTTTCATTTTCTGGGATTTTTTATTTTTGGATTTTTCTGGGCTTTAGTATTTACTTATTTATTTCCAAGTTTTCATATTGGATGTTGCATTCTTTATTTGTGTTCATGTTTACCCTTCTATATCTATTTCTTATTCTGCATTTTGCTAGCAACTTATCTTAATCAACTCTGAAAGTGCATCTTCTGATTATGCTTGCTTTGATTTACCTATTCATAGTTTTCTTTCTGCATCTATGCTCGGCTATCAATTTGGAGTTGATTACGTTCTGGTTCTCTGTTTACAAATGTGGGAATAGAAAAGGATTTAGCGTTTTAAATCTTTATAAAACCCCATTATTATGTCAAGAATCAAGATTAACTTGCAATCTCTTCAATTTCTTGCAATTTTTCTGGGCCTCAAGTTTACTTGATATTTACTTCTTCTTTTTTCTGATTGATACAGGAAGAAATTGAAGCTCCTATGTGGGTGGATCTTACATTAGAATCCAACTCAAACAACCAACATATGTAGGTTCTAGTATACTCAGCCCACACTTTTTTTTTCTTTTTTAACTAAAGAAATGGTTTCCAGGATCTTATAATTTATAAGTTATGTATGCCATGCCAATTTTAATTCTTCTTTTTTGAATATATTGCAGTGATGATGAGTGGTTTTACAGAAGCCACCTGTAAGTATCCTTTGCCCCTTTGATTATGTGGTCTTCTCTATTTTGGCTTTGGAATTCATGTCTTTGAATACGGATGCTGAGTTATAGTAATTTGATGAATTATTAGGTTCCACCAATGCTCTTCTCACCAGTTGAAGGCTGCATTTTCCAATTCCGGTGAGGATATTATGGCCTTAAACTATGACTTAGAGGGACCATCTTCGCCAAAACTTCCCTCTTCTGTCTCTAAGTCAAGAGGCAAAGACTTTGTAAACAAGAAATGGATAGGGGACAACCAGGATTTTTCATTACATAAGCGGAACTCAGAAAAAGTTCTGAGTGGGACATCTTCCTGCGGGAATTCAGGGTCCAGTGATGAGATGAAACCCAAATCAAGCTTTATACATTTGAAAGGAACATCGAGTTCCAAATCAAGTTCAGTTTGTAAAAGCAGTTTCTTTGGAAATCCCATACCCAATTGCTCTAAGCCAATATCTTCTTGTGAGGATCCAACATGTACTCTGAGTTCTATGACAAACAGGGCAGATGAAAGCAGTACAAGAAGCACCATTACATCTGAGAGTGACCAGCAGAAACAACAGAAGTTTACGGAGAAATCAAATCAGGCGTTGAGTCAAGCAAATGGGCTATTGTCAGTCATAAAGGCTCGTCTGAGGAAAAGCGGTGTTACAAGGCCAGCATCCAGAGTGGAGATTAATAGTGATAGAAGGCAATCAAGAGGCCGTAAATCTTCATCCAGCAAGTCTAGTGTGGGATCATCTTCAAATCCTTGTAATGATGGCAGGACCTCAACATCTACGTCAATACAGTACAAAGAAAGAACCCCAGATAGCAGAAATGTGGCAAGAATGACTCATGCATCCAGTAACAGAATAAAATCTTCTAAAGTATCCAAGACAACTCATAAGATTGATCGAGGGACTACAAAGTACAGAATGGCACCTAATGTTGCAAAGCCAGTCCACCTGGAAGCTGCAAAACCAAAGGTGTGAGATGTACTAATCTGAAACACAGACTAAAGATTTTCATGTTTTCTTAAGTTGAAAAATTCTAAGCCATGGTTCGCTTAAAGATGACGTACAGATATCGGAAATAGGTTCCCACTTGTGTAAGAGACTAGTCTAAATAACCTTACTATACATGTTGGAGCATAGAAGTATATTATAGCTTAGCTTCTAGGTCTATTAGAATATTTAGTTAATGGGTGTGTGATCTGGTTTCCTAAACTTATTGATTAGGTTGTTGTTCAGTTTCCCATTAAGTCCAGGACTGCAATCTATCTAAACTCTTCTAGGGCTGAGATTAATGTGTCTCATTCTCTCCCTATTTTCTCAGCATGCTATCAAAGCATCGGTTCTGAGATGTGGTCTTCTTAAAGAGATCTGTTGGCTTCACCACATCTTTTCATTTTGTTCTCTAGAGGGTTTCTTTTTCCTTTTTTGGGTTCATTGTTTCTCTTGTTGGTTTCATTGTTATTTGTCATCTTTAACTGTCATATGCTTGGTTTATGCATTATCGTCTTCGACATCTTCACTAATTGTCAAAAAGATTTTATTCTTTCTGTCTTTCCAATCATGGTCCTCACAAGAAATTCATTCTCCCTTGCAATCAGATCTTGTTGCTTTTTGTTCTTGGTGTTTTAGCACAAGTCTCAATTTGGTTGTGGGTGTTCAAAATATCGTCATCAAAGCTACTCTCTTGGCTTTGTTTGGCTGCAAGGTTATTCAAGGGTGATCCTTATTGATTGTTGGTTGCTCATATTTTGACTTTGACTGCTGAAATTAACTTCTGTTCAAGGTTTTCTTATTAATACTCGTGTTCAAGTTTGTGTAATCTAGATACTGGCAGGAGAAAAAAAAAAGGAGTAATAGTTTTCTAGTTTTCTCCCTCCCCCCCCCCCAAAAAAAAAAGGCTTCAGAAGAGCATTTTTAGGGCCCCTATATTTGCTCATGGTTCAGTTGCAATTATTTGTAATTCCTACTGAAATTGATCTTGCTTCATAATATGTAGTGATGGACCACAAGATTAATATTAACATGAATCATACTGATTGTGTAGGTTCAATATCAAACTTTCAGAAGGAAACCTTTGGAACCAGTTGGAGTTCATGAAAAGAAGTCAATTACCACTACTGTAAAATCTAAGGAGAAAGCAGTAGTTGGTAGATCTAACAGATTGGCTGCCTCTGGAAAAGAGAATGTGAAAAGGAGGATCGTTGGGAGTCAGAAAGGCAATAGCAAAGACATTGCTGCTGTAACTATGGTTTGGAGTCCGAAAGGGACTAAAGAGAGCATTCTGCAAAGGAATGACAGAACAGGACTGGCTGGAAAGGTACATATAAGTTAATAGTCAATTGCTTGGTTCCTTGTTATCTTTTTTCCTTTGTCGAAAAGGAAAAAAAATTTCATCTTTCTCTGTACATATAGCCACCAGAGTAAAAGCAACTCTTTTGACTTTCAGTGTTCAAAAAATAAATCGATTTTCAGCTCTCCAAGGGGATAAGCTAGTATGGCAAGTAATTGTTTTGTCAACATTGATTTGACAGCAAGTAGCATATAGAAAGGTGTTGATAGCATATAGAAAGGTGTTGAACTGCTGAGAGAATTCAGATGATGAGTAGCCTAACAGGATGCTAATGCACTAATATAGGGAAACATATCTCATCGAAACTCTCTTTCCTTAAGACAATTTCTACTAAAAATAAGAGTTAAAAAGATTATTCTTTCATGTCCTAGGTTTAATTGGCCAATGAAGATGTTAAGTGGTATGTCAGATGAGGCAGTGTTTCTGACATTAAGTGTTGTGTCGGAGTGGAGGGATTTTGGAGATTTATCGTTGTTTCTACAGCTGAAACTATACATTTCATTAGGGCTAACCTTGTCTAGCTTAGGACTCTTAGGTGTTTGCAAAAGAAGATGAATTTAGTGGAGGTTGAAGTGGTGGTGTAGACAGTTAGTGTTTGGGGTCTCTCATTTTAGTTCCTTTTAATGGGATTGAAGGATAGATATTGTAGCTTTTGAGAAGATTGAGAAAACTATTTCTATCCCACCTTTCTTCCCAACTTGAAAGTAGCAAAACAAGTTTTAGAACCGATGGGTACTTGATACTAAACAATCTCTTTCCAATACCTTAGAGATTCCAAAGCCAGGTTTTGAAGGTCCAACTCCTTCCCAACATGGAAGTATCCACAGTTTCGTCCTCTCTATATGTACCATCCTTACTATTTATTTTCAGTTGGACAAACCTCATTGGACTTTTGTATGTGCTACAATATAGATTGAGCATCATGTCTTGGGCAGTAGATTTCTCTAATTATATTTATGTTCCGTAATCACAATATGATGTCCCATTAGTATCTCAGTGTATTGCTGATGAATTGCAGGTTCATAATTCTGTTAGGGGATTCTGTACTAATTTTAAGACATTTTCACTTAAAATCTGATGTTGACCTTCTTTTGAGCAGGAAAAATTCAGTGGTCAGAGCCCTTTGGTAAGCTTGAAGGATGTTCCCAAGAGGCCCCATTTCAGATGAGAGACCAGTGCAGCCTAACGGACCTGTATGTATAGCGTTAAATCTAACATCATTTCTAACACTGGAGGAAACATAGAGTGAAACAAAGTTTTGCCCCCACTTATTTTTCAAGATTTTGGCTGTACGTTTTGGTTCTTATGGAATTAAACTTTGTAGACAATTTCTCTCACTGGGAGAATCCTTCAGTGTTTCTATGAAATTCCTTCTGATAGCCGATATTGGTTTTCTTATGCGCACAGCTTTGAGGTGTTCAATATTTTTGCCCCCGTGGTGATTTTTTTTTGTTTTTTGTTTTTTGGGTGAATGGCGCTAACCACAAGCGTATTATTGAAAGAGTATTGACAGATAAACAAATTTAGCAATTAAATGATTTCCATCAGAACTTACTTAAGAACCCTAATTCGGAAACCTGCTGAAAACAATTATGGTAACTTCAATACCCCAAAATGTTTTAAGCTGCCGCACATCATGTATCACTCAAACCCAATTAGTAGAGTCACAAGATCAACAGGAAGTGGGCATCCACTCTTCCAACAATCAAATTACATTCTAGAACTGCACCTCACCGCTAGGAACATGGTCAAACTGCTTGACCGTAGACTTCAAGCATAAGCTTCTATTAAAGGATTGTCTTCGTCCCAGCTCTGTACTATTTAGCTCCTATGACTTTGTGTATGTCATTATGCACCAGAATGGAGGTACATGAGGTAGAGAACAGGACATCAAGTTGGCCTACCTTGCAACGGGTTAGCTTGACTGATTGTTACCTTCTTAGATTGCCATAGTTTCTTGTGACCTACAAAACAGGAAGAAGGAAAAAGTCAGGACCAGTTACAAATCTCACAAGAATAAAAACTAGAATTGTTCTGAACTACCCAAACTGGCAGTAGTATATTTCACATTGATTTTTAGGAATACAGGTAAATAAATAGAACAAAGAAAGAACAACCCGAGGCAGAGGTTTATTAAATCTCTTCGTCAGATCCTCTTCATCGTCATCTTCATCATCTTTGTTCATAAACATTTGGTTAATTGCAGAGTTATCGGATTTCTTTCCACGCTTAGAGGGTTGTGTAGAGCCTCTACCTCTCCCCCTTGGAGCAGCCCTTTTCCGTCCTCTACTCTGAAGACTTTCATCATTTTCCTTCAATAATAGAAACAACATTGTCTTATCAAAAGAATATTATAAACCACATTGATTCTGTTGATGGAACGTGTAAGTGCAAAAAGATATAATGGCTGACTCAAGGCAAAAGGGGGTAGTATGCTGCTGGACTTGGAAAACATCATATGAAAGAGACTGTTCCACACAGTGAATTGGCAGTATAACATAGAAAAGAACAGCATGTTCAACTTTTCTTTAGCTACCACTGATTTAATGGCAAAATCCAGTTTAGCAGGAAGGTAATCCATACCGAACTGTTATCCACCTCATCATTTCCAAATTTCCCTGACTCTTCACTTGAAGGAGAATCCACATCATCCCCATTATCAGCAATACTTCGGACAGCAGCAGTTGCAGCAACTGATGCAGATCTGCAGTAACTATATTAGGTAAGACACTTGACTACGTGGGAACATGAATGTCTCAACATATTGGCAGACTTCTACTGCATGCAGTTAACTACTTAGAATACTCCTCTAACTCAAGTCTTCAACCAGAGTTGATTTCTTAGTAAGAAGAGGGCATTAGGTGTGTTCTCGGGATTTGATATTAGTTCTTTTTCATCTCAACTGCTTCTTTTGTTTTCTACTTGCTTTTTGTGCTAGACATTAATGTTGAAAACCAGTGAGAATAAAAACACATACCACAACTCACACACGCAGAGACAGAGACAAGACAGAGAAAGGTGGGAGGATCAGATTTTACTGCTAATTTGTTCCTACATATGTTTTTTGCTTACACCTATAAAGCTAATGAATTTTGTGAGTTATTTACACTAACAACCCCCCTGAGGTTTTTCGTGTTTTCACATAACACCCTGAGGTCCTATAAATTACATAAACACCCCCTCAGGTTTCAAAATGGTTTCACATAACTCCTTAAATTTAAAATTTTAAAAAAAAAATTAAAAAATAATAATTAAAAAAAACTAAAAATGGATGTAAAAGGACTTCTGCAAATACTAAGTACCCTTCATGGTATTAGGATATTTTTTACTTTTATTATAAAAATAAAAAAAAGGACGCCTCCATCTCATTTATCTCTGCATCTTCTAAGAGATTGAGAAGATCTGGAGGAGATGAAGCATTTTTTTTCTTGGTGTGGGATGTGTATGATGCATCTGATTTGTAGGATATTTTTCTTTATTTTTATTTTTTGTTGTAATAATGAGTAGGAATTAATATTCTAATACCATGAAGGGTATTTTAGTATTTGCAGAAGTCCTTTTACATCAATTTTTAGGTTTTTTTTAATTTATGGACTTATGTGAAACCATTTTGAAACCTAAGGGGGTGTTTGTGTAATTCCTAGGACCTTAGGGAGTATGTGAAAACACGAAAAACCTCAGGGGTGTTGGTGTAAATAATTCTGAATTTTATTTATAATTTACATTTTAAAATGAAGGGGCCTCTCAATTGATTAAACATTTCCTCAAACTTGGGTAAAAGAAAAACCTCTGAGACTGCCGGAATCCAAGAGATGCATCGAGAGTCGTCTGCTTCAAGTTACTGGAGCCCCTACCCCTACCCCACCCCTTCCCCTTCCTCTTGTAGAAGTTTTACCTTTGCCAACTTCTGAAGAAGACGGCTTGGATGGGCCCTTGCGGCCTCTGGAAGTGGATTTTAAGCCCGTCATCTGTGTTGTATCTTCATCATCACTGAAGGAAACTGCACTTGCAGTTCCTGCAGCACTTGTACTTCTGAAATCCTACATGAAGAACCGAAGCTTAAAATGTAGATATTCGGCATATGTATGAACCCAAAAGATTCTAAAATGGAAGCCACATGGGATAACTGATGTGATTCACAGAAGCAGACTAAAATCAGAATTACCTCCCAAGATGGAGCAGTTGAGGTGAATGGAGAATTATTCTTAGAGTGAGTAGACCTTTCCTTGACACGTTCCTGCACGTGTAAACGATATAATATAAATTATGGTCAATGTCAATTGGATGTAACCCCTCCTTAATTGCCCTTGTGATGATTAGGCCACAACAGATTGAGAGAAGAATGTGTTGTTTGTCTTCTCGTCTATAAACTCCTTCTTTTACCGAACCTAGAAACCCCAAATTCCCAGACTTTTATGTTTATTTTCTTTTATATTGAAAATAGTTCCTTTTATTACCAATAAATTCCCAACCTTTTGAATCACGTATATATGTTTTTCCCACATCTAACAACTAAAGCCGTAGACCTAAATGACATTAGTGTAAGAGGTCTCAAGAGACTAAATTGAGTCTGCTATGCATTTTGGAACTGCCTGCCTCATTTCAACCCCAATGACAATCCCTAAGGACCCAACATAATTGTCCATGAAACTCTGACTAGAACAGGTATTACTTTACCACTACCTTGATGATAGAAAAATATATAAAAAGTAGTTATTCTTGCCTGCAAGCACTCTCCAACTTTTAGGACCAAATCTTGCTCTTTAAATGTCACAGTGTCTGGATCCTTAGAAATTTTGTTCTGAAGAATTATAAAAGTGATTATCATTAGCAAAATCCAAAAGAAAATAAATATATGAAATTTTAAACATAACAGGAAGTAATCATTTGAAAACAAAAGGAAAAGATCACTCGATCTACACAAACTAGGTTTAAAATGCACTTACTCGAGTTTCTTCAAGATTGTATTTCAGGCAAGAATAGAAAGCCATCTTGTCATCCTTACTAACAAAATTATGTAATGCAACATCCAAATCATTGACAGGAAGGATCTCCATTTTCTGCATGATTAAATATCACCATCAGGGTTTTAACTTTTAACCTTAAAATAAAATGTACATGCTATAAGTAATTCCATTATCATTTTCAATATTTGTTACATGACTTCCACATTACCAGTAACCCAAAACGGAAATCATATTTGGGAATTACTAAATCCTTGCTTATGCAGCAAAAAAGAGAAAGGAGCCATGCTGCAACAATGCCTAAGAATTTGGTGGCTATTGCAAATCACATTCTGTTTCTCACTGAAAATGTTTGCCAGAAGTCAGTTAAAGTGTGTTTCTGAGCAACTTGTGGAACTGTTTATTTGCAAGAAACTAACAAACTCTATTATGTATATGAACAATCTAGTGTTCCACTGGGTGAGATGTACAAGATGGCATGATATACGGAATACATGCAATGAAAAGGAAAGGAGGAAGACGACGGCTCATACCAGATTGTTTTCGGCAACTAAAGCCTCTATGTTTTGCTGATTTAATTCTTCTGGGCGAAGCCGTTCAGAATCATCAATTTTGGCTACAATACAGAGATCAGAATTACGTAATCAAATCTGTCAAATATATGAATGCTAAACATTTAATGGACATCAGTAGCAAAATTCTGATGGTAAGGAAATCCCTGAGTAAAAGATTCTACTATTGAAGTGATACGAACACCAGAGTCATAGTAACCCAAAAAAAAAAACATTGAACTTCAACCACAAAGTACATAGTAAGGTCCAACTCCAATTGGAGTGCTCTGGTGCCCACACGTTCGGGTACCAGAAAATTTTATTGCTCCAAATGATTCTATCATTGACTGCTGATCATCATCATTCAGTCTAATGCTAATAACTTACCTGTTTCTCCATCTCTTTTAGTTGACTGAACTTTTCTTCGGAATTATAACATTACTTGGGAAAAAAAAAATAGATAGCCTCCCACCTTATATCTATAATGTGAAATTCTGTTCAAAATCATATTAAGTTTCAATTTAAATATTAAATCTATTCAATATGTTAATAATGTAAACTTTCTTCCATGAGGGGGAAGAGAGGCATCTTTACACTAGTTCTTTTATATGGATGAGATTCTTCATTTGCACCAGTTAGAAAAAAGCTGAGTAAGATGGAATCCAATTCCCTGAATATTCGACCTAGGCATTCATCAAACAGTACTTAGATGATGCCTTACACGTACAAACTCGCAGTACCAGCGGCCTCGTCTATAGAATCACAGTTTAAAAAGAAAAGAGCAGAGCGCATGGAAACAATGACTTTGAACACCTTTTTGACTTAAAGGCTTGAAACAACCACCATCCCACCCCCCTCTTCCCTTTGAAAACAAATTAAAAATCATACAAAAGAAACGTTCATCAAACAGTACTTAGATGATGCCTTACAAGCACAAACTCACAGTAGCAGCAGTCTCATCTATAGAATCACAGTTTTATAAAAAGAAAAGGGCAGAGCGCATGGAAACAATGACTTCGAGCACCTTTTCGACTTAGAGGCTTGAAACGACCACCATCCCACCCCCTTCGTCCCTTTAGACACAAATTAAAAACCATACAAAAGATTTTCACCAATTTAAACAATTTTGAAGAGTTGTCCTGAACAAATAAAGTAATGGACCAACCAACGAGCTTCGTAAGGTAGAAAGTAAGTAATTTAAGAGAAAATTTTTAGCATCAGGTACAAATAAGAGTACAGGATATGAATGGAACTTCTCTAACATGGACAGAATTCTTTACAGTTCTATCAAATTTTATTACCATCACTTTGCTTTGAGATATAACATAACAAAACTGTAGCATTAGTAAGCGAAAGACTTCAGACTGTTGACAAAACTAAGATTTAACTATTCAGATTGTGTTACATAATCGACCAATCAAGTTAATATGAAGAAAATCAATTGATGGAATTGAAAAGATGGTATAAAGTAAAAAAATCAACCAAGTCAAAATCTACTAGTGTGGTGAGTACCTTCGCTCCGGCTCTTTGTTGAAGCCTTTGAAAATATAAGAATGTCTTGTGGATTTGCAACCTTAAAGTCATTAGAATAACAGTAATTTATTTTTCAAATGTGATACTCATAAAATCAGCACTAGATTACTGATCTAGGATTAGTGGAGTGAAGTACCTTCCCCACATACTTCTGTCCAAATCTTTGAGGATTTATTGTCATAAACCCAGAATAGTCTACCTGCCAAATGAATGAGAAAAGTTAAATGGTCACTCTGGAAGGGGGTCAAGGACACATGAAAAAAATTATTTTTAAAAAAGATCCATATGCATGCAAATAATTTGTAAATTCAAAGGCAAGACAAGGGACAGGAAGAAAACTAAGAGAGATATGGGGATGCAGATATGAAGATCACTATCCGTCTTAAGTTTAAAATGGAAATATTACCTTTATGCGGACTAATGGAAGTTGGAGCCGTGATTGGCTAACAACATTTTTTCTACATTTCTCTATCAGAGAGTGGACCTATAGAAATTCAAAGCTGTATTATTAAAATATATATAGCACATGCATCAGGGGATATAACACAGGGAAATAGAAAGGCAAAGGAAAGCAAAACAGTCCAATATTACTGGCCAATTGAACTTACCACTTTGTCTAAGTGTTCAAGAATTGAATTTTGATCATTGGGATCAATTTCAGGTTCATCCTTCAATACAATCTGTATTCAATAAACTTAGTTATTAGTCTTTAAAATAAACTTCGTTATCCTTCAATATAATGTAGATGAAGAGATAAACACTAAATCACCTCTGTGTACTCAAAAGGCCTCACTGACGTCAAAGGAATCTTGGTTGGACGATATTGATTCCCCTGCATAAAACTCTATCAGTATCCAACTCAGTTTGGAAATAAAAGGGATGAAAAGATGCTGCTTTCTGGAAAAATACATCTAGCATTGACTTATGTGCAACCTTAATTTCTAAAAGTAGCACATGCTTTGGCTTTGATTCTCCATCAATCAGAGATGTTGCAACTGAAGAACCAGGTTGTGTAATGTGAAATCCCATCCCTGGAACTTCCTGTCAAAAAAAGATCCATGTCCAGTTCTGTAAGGAACCCTCCCCAACGAAACCAAATATGCACCAGAAAAAGACCACTCACGCACAAACACACACGAGTTTGTATACACAAGCACACACATGTGCATGTTGCATATATGGGAAAAAGCAATATTGATTGGCACCTGAGGGTCCACAAGGCATTCATGTTCGTGCCCCCACACCACAAAGTCCAGAAAACGTGGTAAAAAGTGCTCATTTATGGCATTTTTGGGTTTGTCTTCACTCTGCAGAGAGAATTATAAGGTAACTTCATACGTAGGAATATTAACAACATAAGGTTTAAAATCAAATCTCTTCGTAATTAGGAAGATTAACAACATAAGGTTTAAAACCAAATCTCTCTCTCTCTCTCTCTCTCTCTCTCTCTGAGACAAACCTGTTCTGATGAAGCACCAGAATGTTGAACCAGTCTGACACTTGCAACCCGTCTTGAGATTCAGGTCTCATCCATTGTACAGCATGTGGTGTCTGAAATATGAATAATATACCTAACATATATGTGATTGCACTTGAAGCCTGCCAGCGAACAGCAGAAAGCAAATGCTCAACATAAAATACCTGAAACATTCTATTGAGTCTCTCATCTCTGATGTTCCCAAGACCATAGAGAGCCACAGCTGTTGCACCCTGCAATTCAGATGGAATTATGATCCATGCAACATAAAGACCTAAAACATTCTCAAACCTGCTATTTATTATTTCTTAAACTAACCTTCCTCATAAGGATAGGATACACAGTGATCTGACCAACACCAGAACCCCCAAGAACCATTTTCCCAAAATAGTTTACAAGATTGCAGGCTGAGAGAATATCAACAGCGGAGAGATTATCCTGTCAAAAGTCACAGCATTAAGAAATACAAATGCATGTACTAAGAACAACTGTAGCAAACACATTTCAATATATGCATGAGTGTACCAAAGAGGGGCTCCTTGCTATTTTTCTGGGAATAACAAAAATAACTCTATTCTTCTAGATGGAGATAATTGGCAGCCCAACTCTCTCTCTCTCTCTCTCTCTCTCTCTCTCTCTCTCTCTCTCTCTCTCTCTCTCTCTCTCTCTAACTATGAGTTTATATCAAGAAACAGTGAGTTTAAATTTTCTGACTAGGCTTATAAGTTTTTTTATTTTAAAAAAGAAAGCTGATGAGACTTGTAATTTGAATCCCATGGAACCCCACCTATTACAACCAACAAACTGACCAGTGAGCTATATAGGATAAAATAATAAAAATAAAAATTGCCAACATAATCTTACAACCATGGCTCTAATACTATTTCTCATCAGAAGACATTGATAATATAAAACACACAAAAGAAAAGGAAGTAAAAAGCAAATACACACACAATTTTACCAGAAAGAACACATACCACTCCAGCAGGATCATCATGATTTCCATGAATACTAAACACTGGCAAGCCAACATTGAAGTGAGGATCTTCATAATTTACATGGCCAAATCTGTTAGAACAAACATGCTGTTATAAGCTGAAGGGTGCATTCCGTATTATAATATATCTCTAAGATTTATACAAATGGGGGAGGTTTCTGATACAAACATAAATGCAAAAACACATTATAGTAAAAAGATAGAAGTTTTTAGTCCTAAATTCAATTGTGCAGGGAAGTTTTGTTCCTATTGCACAACTCATAGCATATATAGGGTTCTGGAACCAAGGGTCAACTTAGACATATCATTTACAATAAAAAAATCCAGCTAAAAAACAAAGGTGCATTGAGTCATTACGTATTTGCAAAATTCACAGTCTGGTCGCTAACAACTTGGAACTGCACTGGCCGATCACTCATGCAATGACGGCGAAGAATCTCAATGGCCTTAACTAGAGTTGACCTTGAGGGCTTATTCTCATGGAACAAATCACCACCGAGAAGCACATAATCCACCTGATAGTAGATAAATTTTGAAATGTGTTCGTAAATATATTTGGTTCACAGAAAGTATAAGGAATAGAGCTTTGCAATACAATATTTGTCCAAATGTGGACTCAAAATTGAAAGGAATTGAAGAAAGGGAAACAATGCACACTGGCAAACCGCTATTGCAAAGTGTGACACTACAAATACAGCTAGAAGGAAAACTTAGCTATTACATTCTTTTGTTCTGCTATTGAGCATATCTCATCAAATGCCTGGAAAGAATCATGCCGCCGTATTTCATCCTTCTCCATATAGCCCAGATGGCAATCCGTAGCAACAAGTATTCGAAGCGTATTACTAAAATCCTCCCTGAAAATTATTGCACTACACATAAGAACAAAAAAAACCTTTTTTTTGAGCAAATATGAAAGGTCTGACAATGAAAAGTTCCCTATTTTATGGTTTTTTATATCAATTACAACATTTGGGGATGGGGAATTTAAACTTGGGATTCTTCTTCAGAGGGGAGGTGTGACTACCAAAGGGAGTATGCCCCGCCGCCACATTCAAACTAGTGCATCTCATAGTAAACATAATAATATGGTATGTGACTAGTCTTAGAAATGGTTTTTATAGAATACCTACTTGGTGTGTTCAACAAAAGTCCCCCCAAAAAGAAAACACATTACTAGGTGCAAAGATAAAAAGAGAAAGGTTACCTTGATAAGTCACTCATACTGATAGTTGCAACTATTTAAACCTACAACATGTGCAAACTACAGAACTGTTATGGCTAATAAAACAAACAATAATCTTGCAATTACCCGATTACAATTAGTATTTTTCCAACGCGATTATTTCCACCGCCCAAATTCAAATCAAAATCCAAAATAAAAAGAAGAAGAAAAGGCAAGGGAAAGGAAATTTTTGAAATATCAATTTCAAGGAACGCATTTGCTAAAAGTATCAAAATGAATGAAAATTGAAACCATCATGAAATTTCCAATATAGAAAAAGAAAATTCAAAATGATCAGGTTAAGTAAGTAAAAAGAAAAATACAAAAACCCTAAAACAGGGTTTATCAGCACAAAATCAGAAAGACTAAAAGAGGAATAAAAGTCAGAATAAGAATGGAATTGCAATCTGAGAAATTGTGTGAAAAAACAAATGGAAACAAAAATCAATATACTAAAGTAAGCGAACGAACGAATCCTGTCGTTGAACACCGAGATTTTTTTCACTTGTATTCCTTTCATTTTCCTGCTTTTTCTCGGAAAACAAACAGTCTACAGAGAGTGAGAGATGATTACCTGTGTTCAAGTTTTGTAAAATATGACAGTGAGTGTGAATGCAAAAGCTGATTCAGCGAAGCTCGGCGACGGAAAAAGGGGACGGTGGCGGGGAATTTTGAAAGACGAGAGTGGAGGACAAAAATACGTTGGCAAGGTGTTTTCTTTTTTTTTAGTTTTTTTTTTTTGTCGGTCAACCATCATGTAACGAGAAGAAAAAGAAAAAGAAAAATAAGTATTTCGGTATAAAATAATTTAATCTATGAAATTGTGTCCAACTTTGCTTTTACCTATTGGGCTGGGGTAGTAGAGAATGATTATTATTATTTTTTTTTTTTTTATTTTAGTTTTTTAGGATATTAATTGCATAAATATGTTGACAATGGAGTACACTGTGTAATTGAAGTTACGCCATATAGCCACAAGGTATTGAACTCACGGCAAATATATATCGTCATCGTTTTCATATGAGTTTAATTTGAGACCTCTTCCAATCAATATTGGGAGAGAAAAATCAAAGACTGGCTATAAATGTGGTAGTAAGGTTTTTTTTTTTTTTTTTTTTTTTTTTTTTTTTTTTTTTTTTTAAAAAGCAATATTAGGGGATTGAGAAATCAAACCTAGGACCTCAAGTGTATGGGTAACTGCTCTTAACCACTTGAGCTACAAATCCCTTGTTGTTGAGGTAGCAAGATTTATTCTCAAAATTGTAAAACTTTCTACTTCATCTGCATTGTTATTTAAGATAAAAGACTTTTTCTTACGACTCCATCTTCTTTCTTTCTCCTCGCGCAAGTAATGCAAGTAAGAATGGTCATTGGATACCGGGATTAACAAATGGGCACCTGCTCTGGAACCAATACAGCTTAAGTTGGAGCTTAGTCCCATGATGGACAATAAGTAACAAGATACCCATTTGCTATTCTAGGTGTCCAATGACCATCTTTGCCTTAAGCTACCTTCTCTAGTTTTTTAATGCGAGCTGTTTGCACTCTAAAATGAGTCAATGGGGTCTAATTCAGTAGAAAAAGGGTTTTGGTTTATAAATCAGATGTTTTAGGTTTGAATTCCCACAGCATTATAGTTGTGTGTGTATGAGAAATACGTCTCTCATTTAGTTTAGACTATCACTTATACTAATAAATAATAATAATAATCATCATCATCATCATTATGCATTTCTCCTTCTTTTTTAACTAAAGGAGAACCCTTCTCGGCTTTTTTTTTCTTTTTATATAATAAAAAATGAGGTATGATGACTATTTTGATAGCCAAATGAAATGGAAAAAGCTATTAAAATATAAAATTATTAACAAGATGGGTCCATAGCTCAGTGGTAGAGCATTTGACTGCAGATCAAGAGGTCACCGGTTCGATCCCGGTTGGGCCCTTCTATTATAAATTTTTTAGTTTTTCTACCTAATTTATTAACAATTAAATGCATAATAATATCCTATCTTTTTATTTTCTTTTTTTGAGAAAATGCATAATAATATCTTATTCTTATGGTATGAAACTAAATGCAAAAATTAAAGAAAAAAATATAACGTCCACAAATTAATGTAATAATATTTCATTTGAAATGGAAAAAAAACTATTAAAATATAAAATTAATAACAAGGTTGGTCCATAGCTCAATGATAGAGCATTTGACTGCAATCAAGAGGTCATTGGTTTGATCCCCGGTTGGGCCGTTTTATTCTATAATTTTTTTAATTTTTATACCTAATTTATTAACAAAATTAAATGCATAATAATATCTTATGACATGAAACTAAATGCATAAATTAAGAAAAATAATAAAATGCCCAAAAATTAATGTAATAGTATTTCATTGATGTTTTCAAACATATATTCTTTCAAAGAAAACTGAAGAGATATGGTGGGCAAATTTTCGTAATACTGAAATTATTTTATGTTTGTTATTTTTGAAGAATAATATTTTTATTAAGAAAAAAAGTAGTGTCAATCAAATAATATATTCCTAAACTTTGTTCCCTTATATGTTCTAGACATGTATATGTAGTACGGAATACTAGACAACGCTCTAGATATGTAGAAGATTTAGTAGGAAGCTGCATTTGAATGCTACCAAACAAGTTCATATCAAGTGCAGATGAGGCCTGATACAGCCAAAACGCATTCAAAGTAGCATGTGGGATTTTATGTTCTTTCATTTCTTTTTCTGGTAAGCTAAGCAGTCTCTTTTCTATTAAGTTTGTGATTGTTATGCGATACTAATATGAATGTCCCAGATTTTGTTAATTATGTTATTAATGATTTTGATTTCCATATGACCAGATAACAATAAATGCTCTGTAATTGAAAATCTGATGTATACTTAATTCGGGAAAGGTCATGCGGGAAAGATTCTGGGTTTGAGTCATACGATCAGTGTAGTGTGTATGAATTTAATATGTTACCGTCCATCTCAATAGGAAATATCATAAATAAATAAATAAAATAATCCAGGAAAGTTAAAATCTGATTGCATACTATGCTCAATTGATCCCTTTGTATGTTCTCAATTGAATTCAGGTTGGAGGGATCTGCCCCTTATTAAATGTCACTTTGGCACCTTTGAAATATATAGAAGATGCTTGCTTAGCTATATATATTATGCCCATGACTGTGGACCAATGACGTTGAAGAAGCAAGCTGATTTTTTTTTTTTTTTTTTTTTTTTTTTTTTTTTCGAACGAGTTTAGAGGGAAATTGACTACTCTCCCTACCAGCGCAAGGATATACCTACAATCTCAAACCGGAATGACTTACATGAGATTAGGGTGAATTACTTTTTTATCTATAAATTATACACTAGTCCTTAATTTAGGAGAAACACTTATGTGCAACAGGGATAGCACTATTTTGCTATCCCAGACCAATCATAGAATATCACACATGATAATTTTTCTACATTAAAATTTATAATTAATTAGAGATAGCAAAATAGTTATATTTTCGTTTGATACCAATTTTTCTACTAACTTAGTGATGTGTTACCAATTTAGTCAAACTGATCCTTGAAAAACGAATTTGCCTAATTACCTGTGCATCGCGTGAGTTCCGCCAAAGTATGTTTCACTTTTTTTTGGGTCAATGAAATTATTACATATTAGACATGGATGGTTTACATGCACAGCAGAAAGTTACCTTTATTGACGTAATTTTGTAAAGGGTACATACTGCTGGGTCAACACAGTAATACGGTTGAAATATAATGCGTGGTGAGGTCTACAGGAGTGTCTCTTAAATAAATTTTTTAACTGAAGTTATATATAAGGATTTTTATCATAAATGGTCCCTGAGATTTGCCAAATTATCACCCTTGGTCCTTTATGTTTTTTTTTCTGACATTGTTAGTCCCTTATATTACACCTCACACATCAATTTGGTCATGCCGTCAGGTTCTGTCAAAATTTTCTGTTAGACTGATGATGTGGCCGTCATGTGGATTAAACAATGTTTTAAACATTTTGGGTTTTATCACAGATGGTCCCTGAGGTTTGCGAAATTATCATCTTTGGTCCTTCATGTTTTTTTTTGACATTATTAGTCCTTTATATTTTTAAAAAATAATTTAACATTTAAAATCTTTTAGAAAAAATTTAATACAAAAAGAGAAAATTTTCAAAACATAATTTATTTGTTTATTCAAATCCACGTGAAATGTTATTATTGGACATGTATGCTCCATATACATGTCACGTCAAATTTTGTTGAAATTTATGTTAAATTAATGAAAATTTCAACAAAACCTAACGGATTTGGCATGATATGTATGTGGAGCCTGCATGTTCAATAATAACATTTCACGTGGATTTGAATTTAAAAAAATTATGTTTTGAAAATTTTTTCTCTTTTTTTAAAAAACATTTTAAATGTTGTAAACTATTTTTTAAAGGATTTAGGGGTTTTCAACAAAACCTAACGGATTTGACGCGGCATGTATGTGAGCCTACAAGTCCATTAATAACATATCAAGTGGATTTGAATAAAAAAATGAATGTTTTGAAATTTTTCTCTCTTTTTTAAAAATATTTTTAATGTTAAACTATGTTTTACATTTAGATCCACTTGACATTTTCTCATTGGCTACGTGTGCACCACACATGTGTCATGTCAATAATTTAACAAAATCTCATGGTAGGATCAAATTGATGTGTGAGGTGTAACATAAGGACTAATAATGTCAGAAAAAAAAATAAAGGACCAAATGTGATAATTTTGCAAACCTTAGAGATCATTTGTGATAAAACTCAAAATATTTAAAGCAGTGTTTAATCCACGTGGCATCCACGTCAGCAATCTAACGGAAAATTTTTGACAGAACGTGACGGCGGGACCAAATTGATGTGTAAGGTGCAACATAAGGGACCAATAATGTCAACAACAAAAAAACATGAAGGATCGAAGGTGATAATTTGATAAACCTTGGGACCATTT